CCTCTGTTCTGTGCTGACTCCACACAAGCTGTCAGCAAGACAGGTGAAAGCCCACGTTATGAGATTTCCATGGTTTACTCCCCCTGGCTCCCAACATAGGTCCTCTGACTGTGTCCACCTCAAAATGGGGCTTCACTTCATCCTTGCAGTGGAAAGTGAGCACTAATTTCAAATTCTCTTCACTTACCTTGAGAGAGGAAATACAGTGGCTTGTAGTCAATTGGAATTGAATGCCTACTTTGAAATTCAGAAAGAGGTGAAGTGAGAGAAGTTTGGGTGCTTGTACAGAGTAGCGCAGAGGTAAGATGAAGGTAGGGCCCTGCCTGGGTGGTTATCTCAACAAAATACTTATTTCCCAATTTGCCTGGGTAGCTGTGCTTGAGCACATCTCAGATAGGTCACCTCTAGTTTTTTGCATATGTTACTTTCAGATATCGCCCTGAAGAGAGGTGGAGCAAGACATTGCATTTTCTGGGTGAGTGAAAAAATAATCACAAATAATTATCACCTTCCATCCTTTCACTTTTGGCTCACGTTTATACTACTCTTTAGTAAGAACTCTTTTATCTAAATTAACATTTCCCAAATGTAAACTTTAGTAAATTCTGAGAGACAAAGAATATTATGCCATTGCATATTATTAACTTGTTCAGATCCAATAATCTTATAGCATTTCCAAGAAACTGTCTCACAATTTATCTACTCAGTGAAATTTCACAGAAAATAGTTGTTAATTATGAAAGTACTGGATAAACAGATTAATGAAGACAGGATGAGAGAGAGATCTAGTGCTGGAAGGCAGACATGGTCTAGGTAGATACTATTAGGAATGTGAGAAACTCAGAAGAGCTTTAACACCTCTGATTTTCGAAGGCCACCCGAAATGGGAAGGGTCGCAGGGCTTGTGGTTTGAATGCATGGAAGGCAAAGTTCACACAGCTCAATATTTCCCTTTGAATCTTCTCTGGATTCTGCTTTTTCTCTTCTCCTTTAATGACTAATATTTGTGAAGACCAGACTTGATAAGGTGGTTAATAATAGACAAGTATTTTCATTACCTGTGTTTATGATCTATTTATGTATTTAGGGAAGGAAGAGGACCTCAGACCACTTAAGTATATCTTCTAGACGTGCTTCCACCACTCCTCCCCATCCTGGGAACCTCTTCGCTTCTGCTGTCAGTTTCCCAGATCATTGCAGTTTCCACACCCAGAGCACACACAACCCTGAAGAGCATAGAGAGAGTTAGTAGGTGCTGAAAGCAACTGAGGACAAGGGCCTCCAAGGAGAGAAACATTCATAAAGGTTCGGATGTCTGGAACTCAGTCTGTAGCACAAGGAAAGGATGGTGAGAGAACTCAAGAAAGGAGGTGCCTAAGAAGTGAGACCCCAAAGGCCGTGTGGGCGGAAGTAAGCAGAAATTGAAAGTTTCCATGTGGGAATGAGAGGAACCTTTAGAAAATTCATGAAGGTCTGAGATTTTCTGGCACAAATATCATCCTTTGGCTCAAGTCTTACCGTGATAAAAGTTCATCTTTGGTCAGGTGATCATAATGTGCAGTAGAACTGATATTTCTGTAGTGTAATTTCAGGAAGCATTCATGTTAGGTTTTCTTGTTTACAAGTCTCAGTGAGGAAGGACAAATGACCATCACAGATGGATAAGCCTAAGGACACTTTTCATCTGACTCTACCACAAGGGTCTATACTTCCTTTACCTGCCCCTGTGACTCTGTATATGGGCAAACAATATCAGTGAAGCATGTGACCTTCAGATACAATTTAGCTTAAGGGACCCAGACAGATTGATAGAGCTGGTGTAACTTAGCAGGTCCAAAAAGCTGTATTCCCTCAGGTCATAGTCTAAGACAAACTTTAAACTCATTAACTAGAAGAAAGAAGCTTATAGAAGTCTTAGGGGATTTCATGATATAGGCTATAGAACTGTATGGTTGAAGCTTTTCTGTAAACCCTGGAGTCTTATGGGCTTTGAAAGTAGACCAGCTGGGAAAGCTTTTCCTATTCACCTCTTACTGGGGAGATACCTTGTTGGAAATTATGAAGGAAGGTGTATAGTGAGACTTCACTCACCTGACAGCTTGCTTCCCCATTGCACAGGGAACTGTATCTCAAAACATAATTGGGATGAAAATTTTGATGATTAAATATATTTAAAAAATCAGAAACGGTTACTTGTACAACTATCCAATTTGCCTTGGCTGCCCCTGTGAAACCTCATGCTGTTCAAGTGTGGCAAAGAGCAGCTTATGGCACAATCACAGGTTCCAGCTTCTCATTCTCATGGAAGTATCCTAATCTCTGGGGCTGAGTTGTTGGACCACAGTGTGGATCTACTCAGCTTATGGGAAAGTTTTGCCTTCAAGCCTTTCTATTTTTATTTGAAAATGTAAAATTGATATATAATTGACACATCTCTTTGTGTAAGTAAAGGTGTAAACATATTGAATTGATTCATCCAGATATTGCAGTATGACTGCCATTGTAGCATTCGTTAACTTCTGTATCATGGTACATATTATCATTTCTTATAGTGGAAAATATCAAGATATAGTCTCAGCAAGTTTGGTGTTTGTCTGTAATCATTCTACTCTATTTAGATCTCCAAGATTTACTTATCTATTGATTGCAAGTTTGTACTAAACAACATCTCTACTGAACATGGGAGCACAGATGTCTCTTTGAGACTCTGACTTCATTGCCTTTGGATATTTATCCAGAAGTGGAATTGCTCAATCATTTGATAGTTCTAATTTTAATTCTTTGAGAAGTCTGTATTTCCAGAGTGATTAAACCAAATTATATTCCCACAAATAGTGTACAAGGGCTCTCTTTCTCTACATCCTCACCAACACTTACTATCGCTTGTCTTCTTGATGATAGCCATTCTAATAGGCACTGGGTCCTAAGTCATGGAGCTTTTATTGCATTTTCTTGATGGTTAGCGATGTTGACCACCTTTAATATATCTGTTTGTGATTTGTAGGTCTTCTTTGGAAAAATGTCCAATCAGATTCTTTCCCCATTTTTAAACTGGTTATTTGTCTTTTTGTTATTGACTCGTATACGTGTTATATATTTTTAATTTTCTGCAACTCAAGCACTGTGACAGACATGAAGTGAAAATTCAAGGTATCATTGAGGAATGTCAAAGGGAAAATGAAGAGAACAAGAGAGCAGAGATGCAAAATTTTTTCACAGACATAGCCCATGGAAATGAGTCTGGTAAATAAACCAGTTACATAAAAAACTTTACATATAAGAAAGAACCCAAAATACTTGCAAGTATATATACTTGGAGTTAATAATAGTTTTCATTATTGAAAGAAATTATATATGCATTTTCATGTTTCTTTAGTATGTATTTATAACTGGAAATTATATTTAAAATTCTTTCAGAATGGTGTGCATTAATAAGTATTATGAAATCCATTGTTGTAATAGGTATATTGAAAAATAATGTGTGCCAAATCTTAAACTGCTCTGGGGTATCCATTGTGTGCTTACACTGTATTTTCTTTAGCAAAACCTCATTATGAGGCAAGCTGCATTGACTTGTTGCTCATCTGATTAATAAACTACATTCTAAACAGAAAAACATGTCTTTAAGCAGACAACATGCTGGTCCAGAAAATGGCTGGACTAATACGGTCATTTGATGTTTTGTTTGCCTCCAAGCCAGAATAAATTTGATCTACTTTTCTCTATATGATCCCCTTAAGCTCTGTGGATTTTGATCATACTCTTCTTTGCTCCAATATCAGGGAAATCAGGAAACGCTCTTAGTGTTAACTAATAATAGATCATGCAGTAGTAAAGTAACCCCATCATCTTCTGTATTTGGGCAGTGCATATTGGAGATATTTTCTAAAGGTCCTTCTCACAGCTGCTTTCACCTCATTATTTTTTAAGCTGTAGATGAGGGGATTCACTAAGGGAGGGACCACACTGTACTGTACAGACATGATCAACTCCAGGGTTGAACCTGAGGTTGGCATGAGATAGCGAAGGGAAATCGAGCCATAAAACAGGAGGATTGCAGAGAGGTGAGAGGAGCAGGTGGAGAAGGCCTTGCCTCTACCTGAGGAGTGGCTCATACTGAGGATTGTGGAGACAATAAGGGCATAGGAGAATACAATCAGCAAACAGGTTCCAAACCCATGCAGGAGACTGGAACAGAGCAGAACAGTAAGACTGGTGGAGACATCAGAGCAGGACAGAGGGAAGAGAGAGGGCAGCTCACAGCTGTAGTGGGGGATGGACTGATCCTTACAGAAGTCCAAGCTCATAGCTGGTAGGATGTTGATGAGTGCGTCCAGAAAGCTCAGGACCCAGGAGCTGCACACCAGACTATTACAGAGCCGGTTGGTCATGATCTGTCCGTAGTGCAGAGAGTGGCAGATGGCAACATAGCGGTCATAGGCCATTACTGAGAGCAGGCAGGCTTCAGTGCCCCCAGCATCAAACACAAAGAAGACTTGAGCCAGACAGCCCCCCACAGAGATGGTTTTCTTCTGAGACAGGAGGTTCTCTAGCAGCTTGGGCACAGTGACTGAGGAGTAGCAAAGATCCAGGAAAGAGAGGTGACTCAGGAAGAAGTACATGGGCGTGTGGAGGTGGGAATCAGCCCTGATCACCAGCAGCATCGTGAGGTTTCCCATCACAGTCAGGAGGTAAATCACTAGGAACAGCACAAAGAGCAGGGCCTGGACGTGGGGGTCTGCAGACAGCCCCAGGAGGATGAACTCGGTGACGGTGCTGTGGTTCCCCAAGGCCATCTGGAGAGACTGTAGAATAGAAATAAAAATAGGAACAGAGAGGGACTTCAGCAAAGCGATGGAGTGTGGAGCTCCAAGCTCCTGTTCCTTTACAGGAACATTGAAAAACAAGGAGAGACTGTCAGCATCAACCTTTTAGGTTCTCTGGAAGCTGTCAAAGTTTTAAAGCAATAAAGTGAACACTCCATAGAGAAAAAAAAACTTAACACTAGTAGGAAAGTTTTGTGTCATGTTTATTTTCCCTTGCCTACCCACTCCCAGCCTCAGTGGCCACCCTGAAGGTGGCAGCCCACATTCCCAGTGTTGAACCCTGGTCCCAGGTCTGGAAGGAGCAGAGCAGACCTTATTCACAAGTTATTGTTTGGTGTTCTAAATTGTCTGGGGACTACCTGAAGGACTTATACAAGATGCTCTGTCTCATTTTCATAAAACCCAGAAATCATTCAGGGATCAAAAGCAGCACACATTGCTTGAAAACAGCAGAGGGATAACAAAAACCTCTAGCTGCCTGGGCAAAATATTATGGCAAAATATATGAAACATATAAAAGACCATCAATATCCTAGAAGGAGAAGCTAGGGAGAGAGTTTCTCTGGGAAACTAGAGTATTCAACAGTGCCTGTGTATACTAGGGAATTTAGAAATCTACACACTTGCCCAGTAGCACTCTTGCTACTAGGAGACTAGAGAAGACCTTACATTTTCACCTCTGGCTGATTTTTTGTTTCAGGCAAAATTCTGGCTGATTTTTTGTTTGAAGGCAGATTTGTAAGCAACCTGGGAAAATGTTGAAAGACTGCCTCAGCACAGAGCCTATTTACAAAGACTGAGAGGCTTGTTTAAAAAATTTTAATTTAGCTCCTGTCATGCAAGGAAATGTCTTGCAAAACACGAGTTGAACTCAAGCTAAAGGAGAAGAGACTACAGTGAGAACACAGAGCAATGAATTATCTTTGCAAAAATAGTTTGGAGAAATCACTATATAATAGAGGACTACAAGCCTTCAAATATAAAAAACAGAAAAGGAGGAGAATTTAATTTCCAGAGTCATCTCATTCCAATATTTAAAAGTGTAGTTTTCAACAAAAAAAATCACAAAAGATATAAAGAGGCAAGAAGGTAGCCCTGTTCAAAGGAGAAAAATGAGTTGAGAGAAAATGGCTACAAGGAAGTGTAGATATTGGTCTTATTAGACAAAGACCACCCCCACTCCTGCCCTACTGAGATATATATTGAAGTCACCATTACCTTGATATCAAAGCAAGATAAAGAGATCACAAGAAAAGGAAATTACAGAGCAATATCCTTCGTGAAAATGGATGCAAAAAGTTCCGACCGTTTATTAGCAAACCAAATCCAAAGGCATCTTGGAAGGTTTGTACACCATAAATAAGGGGTTTAACTTAGGAATACAGTGTGATTCAATCTAAGAATATCAATCAATGTAATACACAATATAAATACAAAAAAGAAAAAAGCCCCATCATCTCAGTTGTAGAGACTAATCATTTGACAACTTCCAACAGGTTTTTATGTTAAGAAACACACAGAAAACTAGGAAGGAAGGGAAATTGCTCAGTACTACAAAGAGCATTTATGAAAAAATGCAGCTAGCATAATATTCCATGGTGAAAGAGTGAAAGCTTTATCCATGAGATTAGGAACAAGACGATGACGCCTACTTTCATTTCAACATTGTACTGTAAGTTCTAGTTAGAGAAATTAGACAAGAAAAAGAAATGAAGGCATTCAGATTGTCTATTTACAAATGTCATGATTTTACATATGGAAAAAAAATGCACTCCAATTTACTAGAATAGGTAAAAAAATTAAGCAAAGTTGCAGCAAAGTTCAGCAAAGAACAAACATAAAATTCAGTTGTGTTTTTATAAATAACCAATGAACAATCTGAAAAGGAAATTGAAAATGCAATTTTTTTACACAGACATCAAAAAAATAAAATATTTAGGAATAAACTTAATTAAGGAAATGAAAGACTTAAACACTGAAAATTACAAAATATTGCTGAAAGAAATGAAAGATTTAAATAAATGGAAGGACATCCCTTATTCATGGATTCAATACTGATAAGATGTCCATAGTACTCAATCAATCTACAAATTCAAAGCAATTCCTATCAAAAGCCTAACAGTCTTTTCTGCATAAATGGAAAATCTAACCCTCAGATTCATATAGAGTTGCAAGGGATCCTGAATAGCCAAACAATCTTGAAGAAGAATAATTCAGATGGAGGGCTCACACTTCCAGATGTCAAAACTTACTAAAAAGCTATGTTAATAAAAAGCAGTGTGGTACTGACATAAGAATAGACATATAGACCAATGAGAGACCAGTGAGCGACCAGAATAAATTTATACAACTATGGCTAATTCACTAGTACCAAGACTGTTCAATAAAGAAATTATCTCTACAAAAAATGGTGCTGAGACAAAGGGATATCCAGATGCAAAAGAATGAATTTGGACCCCTGTCTCACACTATATTAATAATCAAAAAAAGATTAATGAAATATAAATGCTGAAAGCATAATACTCTTAGAAGAAAATATAAGAGTTACCTTTCAGTATGTTGGATTTGGCCATGATTTATTGTCACAAAACAATGAATAACAAAAGAAAAATAGATAACATTGATTTCATCAAAATTAAAAACTTTTGTGCATCAAAGAACGTTATCAACAAAATGAAGAGACAACCTACAGAATGCTAGCAAATCATATAAGCATCTGCTATTCAGAAATAACTTGTACAGTTCAACAACCAAGTACAAATATCCAATTTGAAAATAGTGAAAAGGAATAGAGATTTTTCCAAAGAAGATATACAAGAACATTGCTAACAAGAACATGAAAAGATACTCAACATCCAGCATCATTTGGGAAATGTGAATCAAAAACTATAATGAGGAACTACTTTATATTCACTCAAGTGGCTATAAGAATAATTAATCAAAACCCAGAAAGTAACAAGTTTTGACAGGGATATGGAGAAACTGGAATCCTTGTACATGGCTGGTAGGAATGCCAAATGATACAGCCATTGTGGAGCACAGTTTGATGATCTTCAAAAAGTTAAACAGCATTACCATAGCTCTGCACTGTATACCTCCTGGGTGTATAGAAAAGCATTGAAAACAGGTACTCAAACAAGTACATATACACACATGCTCATAGCAGCATTATTCATAACAACTATCCGGTGGAAACAGCTCAGATGTCCATCAGCAGATAAATTAACAAATGGTGGTATGTTCACACAATGGAATTTTTTTCAGTCATAATAGGGAATTGATACATGGTACAACATAGATGAAACTCCAAAACATTATGCAAAGTGAAAAACGACAGACACATAGGTTACATGTCACATGATTCCATTTATATGAAATATCAGACAGACGGAGATTAGTGGTTGTCAGGGGCTAATAGAAGGGGTAGTTGGGGTGAAACTGCTTAGTGGTCTCAGGTGTTACTTTGCAGTGATGGTAATGTTTTGAAACTGACAGAAATGGTTATGGAAAACATTAGTACTAAAGGCTATCCTTTTGTTCATTTAAAGTGGTTACTCTTACATTATATGAATTTTGCCTCAATAAATACTTATTAAAAATAGGAACAAAGCTGAGAACTCTGAACTAACAGGTACCAGAATGCAGGAGCTAGGTAATGAAACCAACTATCTTAGCTTTTATATGTTCCTTCACTCATTCTTTAGAATCCTTTCTTCCTGTGGTAATGATCTCCTTCAGTCCTTATCCTGGGTCAACTTCACTGCGGTATCACTCACTGGTGGATATTCTATCTCAGAGATTGCAGGAGAAATTAACAAATATTTCCAGATTGGACCATGACCTAATTTAGTTTCTTTTTCTTAGCTGAAACTGTGCTAAAAAATTTTCCATATACTTTATATATTGCAGTGTGTATATTGTATACAGAGTGAGTGGCCCAAATTTGTCTTCTCTTCTGTCCCTCAGAGTCTTATCCCTACTTAAGACCAACCCAAGGTGCATAGCTGCTTAATGGTATTTGCCTTCCTGCAGCTTTTTCACAGGGAAATTTCACATACATTGCCTATTTTATCTTTGGGACAAGATTAAAAGGTGTAGGAAGAATTATGTATTCATGCACCAATATGTGACTGTGTATGTATGTGTTTATTTCTTTGTCTTTACATGTAAGGATGTGGTAGAAGAAATAAGGGAGGAACTTGCTGAATCTTTTTTTAAGAAGATAATATTGAGTATTAGATATTATATAATTTGTCTAAATTGCCAGTCTGATAAGTCAGTATTTGAGTTCATTATTTAGGGGCCCAAGGCAAGAGGTCTTCCTGCCATGCAGTGTCTTCCAGTGAAGGCGTGACAGTGAATGCCCTCTATCATCTGGCATTTATGGATGTTTCAGATTATCCACACATTATCTTTAAAAAGACTCACTGCAAGGGCAGACTAGTGTACTTGCCTCTGAGCACCCCGTGGACATCCTTTCTTCCTGCCTTTGTCAAACATCCACTCAGCCTGGAATGCTGTACCTTTCAATCCAAACCCTATTCTTGTTTTAACTCTCATTTTAATTTAAACTCTTTTTTAGATCTTCCTTGATGCTCTCCTTCTACAAACTTACCATATTATATAATAATACAGCAAATATTGTTTAGTGAGAACCTGATATATTCTAGGCAGTCCCAAATTCTAGGCTTTGATTTTTAATTCTCAGAAAGATATGGGCAAATCATTAGGTGCAGAGTTTAAAAATAAGGAAACAGTATTTAGATATTTTCCCAAATGATCAATAGCCTGATTATAACTCTGATCTCCAATTTTAAAAGGCAACTTTTCTTTCTGTCCTATCCCTTCCTTCTTAAGAATTTCTTAGGAGTTCCTGTTTCTTTCCACAGTACGATGTAATCATCAGTTCATATTGAGTGAGTCTTCCCTCTATGCCATCACATGGATCACTCTGCAGATCTGGTAGTTAG